GATGCCTCGCTTCAAGGTTACAAATGCTCGACTGCTCCCTTAACGACGTTATGTGTTTTCATTGAAATAGCCATTACATGGAACCACTCAGAGAAGTTTTTGCCATCACCGTCACCATCATGTTCCGGATATGTATATATAAATCAAAAAGCCTAAACAAATCAGACAATAGTTTTCTAACTGCGCCACCGGCATTAGGACTTGCGACCATTCACTCTGAAGCCTGCATGCTACGCTAGACAGCTCTGCCACACGTCAGTCATTCCTTGAATGCTAGCGGCAATCAATTACCGCTACCGGTGCCCAGATTCCGGAAGTGCTTTGACATGTTGTTAACCACCAGCGCGGTGGTGCGAAGGGCACGCTTTAAAGCAACGCTCATTGGTTTATTTTCAACAGATTTCTATACGTGCACTGAAAGTCCACGAAGAGGATGCTGATGATACGGCAAAGCTGGGTCCTAAAGTTCAGTACATCTGCATTGAAGTCATCGACTAGAATAAAGACGGACAAATGAAAGGACGGGCGGGCGAACGCACGGATGAACGGGAGGATAGGTCTATTTTTAAAACCATATGTACGTGTGTTGACAGCTTTGCGCCGGATGATCCCGCCTGCGCTTCGACAGTGTACGGTGTCCGGGCGGAATGAACCAGGATGAACATCGTGAGTTCCTGAAAAGCTTTATTTTTAAATGTGGCCCATTTGTCTACCCATTCGCGATGTGGAACACCTGGCAATTTTTCGAACACCACGCGCAGCAGCATTGCAGAGGGGTCACCATGATCCGCAGTGCTCAACAAGGACGTTCCGGTGCCGTAGACGCTCGCAGCTCACCAAAAAAAAAAAAGGTGAAATTAAAAATGCGATAGTTGTTAGTTTTAGAAACGATAGCCTTTTTTGGGGACCTTCAACGCAAAAAATTTGATATGTCTGTCTCTCTGTACAATTGCCTGTTTGCCCACCCTTAACGGTACCCTAAGCGGCACCACAATGACCAAACGATACTCTAAACAGCCGAAACAGATCGCAGCGCCCACCAATATTGCTCAACGTTTAGCGTCCATACTTCTGCGATTGTCAATTAGAAAGCAATTATTTCGCATATCTGAGGCACCATTACAACAAGTCAATATTATGTATGTGTATTTTTTACTAGAAAAGCCATACGAAAGTAATTTTAGGGATAATAGCCTTTATAACTCTGCGCTAGCCATGCAACGCTTGCACGAAACGGCAAGTGTTTCAGACGTTTTGCTGAGACGACACGGTGGTGGCTGCTACCCGTCTCATTGCGCTCTACGCCTTATTAACTCAAAGACGAGCGCGCACGGCACGTGCCCCGTTTTTCAGGATAACTGCTAGATCTCGCTCATGTCCCACGCGTGACGTGGCTTGATGTACTTGTTCGCCTTCGCGGCACGCTCGAGGTACTCTAACACAGCGCTTCCAGAATACCATTAACCGATTTTCTTGCGCAGAACATCAAATGAACGTTTTTTTCACTCTCTCCAGATGCAAGACTGTCGTCTTGCGCCCGGAGAGAGATATTTGTGGTCCTTCGTATCTGTCTTTTGTATACCTACACTCTAGCTTCAATCATACTTTTTGAACAGCGTGGTGTGGGAGTTGAGCTGTGACGGCAAAAAAGTCGCTGTCCTGCGCGCGCGCGCGAGCATGTGTGTGTGTGTGTGTGTGTGTGTGTGGGTGGGTGCGTGTGTGTGTGTATGAGTGTGTGTGTGTGTGTGTGTGCGCGCGTGCGCGTGTGCGTGTGTGTGTGTGTGTGTGTGTGTTTTCTTTTCACTTGAGCGAAGCTCCGCAAGTATCGAGCTATTTCTCGTTCATCGTGTGACGTCCTAAATTGTTTATCACATTCGTTGCTTTGCCCTATGAGCTTAAGTGTCATTTTCGTGCAAGCACTCATCATTATGCTGGAAACAAACACCTCGTGGCAGAAGCATGATCCATCACTTCTGCTGAAGTTTCAAAGTTTGATGGATGCCCGTCTGGTCGGAATTATGCATGGTGAAAGTAACAAGCCGTAGGCACTTCTACGACGCGCGCAGAAAAGCTGCACACGGCAAGAAGACTATACGCCCCCGACGTAAGCTTGGTTCGGCATGAATTGTGAGCCTGTGGCTATCTCAAATTCTTGAACGCCGTCGACTGACAAATGGCACGTCCGCACATGCCCTGTGCTGCCTTTGGTGGAGAGTGCGCGAGAATACCCTATATCCTTTTATTACCTCAGCCTTCAGCCACGTTCTACGTTCCTACAAAGACAATGTGATACATGTTCCAGGCCAGAAACAGTGACAGTGACTCGTCCGTGGGAAGGACAAATTACCCAAAGTTCCCTGGTGTGGTGTACGTTCTCCCGCACCAGGATTCTCACAACGTGTATACTTGATAAGAATGGTTGCTTTTAAAGGCTTCTCAAGCAGCACAACGACGGCGTGAAGCCGGCAAATATTTATTTCGGTGTCTTCTCAGAGCGTGATTCAGGGAGACACTTAAACGACGGGGAGAAGACAGGTGTTCTTGCTAAAGAAAAAGAACTCGCAATGACTTTTATCTTGGGTTATTCATAATACAGACAACGCACGCACTCTCAACAAGAACGATGATTTAGGGTTAGGATTAGGACATTGTTTGTTAGCCGGCGGATCTACAGCCTTGCAAAATTTGCAGGCAATCACCCTGCCCGGTTTCCTTCTTACTAACTTCTAACTATTCGTGTTATTGTTTGCTTATTTTTTATATATGCACGAGCATGCTCTTAAAAATTCGCGCGTCGCGCCATGTACTCTGCATAAGCCAGCGGCCTCTGTACTGCTCGGCATGCAGTACTGTACAGGAGGAACGATGACAGTTAACAGCATCAGTGTATGCGCACTGCCTGCTGTGATATATTAAAGCCTATATGACGCTATCTTGTCGCTCACATGTTCGCATTTTACTCGTGAAGAGGCTCCCTTGTTGAAGCCAAAACGTCGTTCTTTTTTTGTGTGCGTGTTTTAAAATTCACTTGGATCGGCGTGGTGTCTACGGTTTTTTCACCTTCACCAATCACTTGTTTTAGCAATCTAATCACATGTGTTGGGTAATAGTGAGCACTCTCGAGTAATTGTGTAACCTACGCCTGTGCTCATGCACACACTAGCCCAATGCGCCACAGGATTACGGGAGGTAGAGATTCGTAGCTTGAGCCGCGAACACGCGCAGACGTTCGACGTCCTGCGGGCCCCTGTCTCGCTACACCAAGGTATGCCATTCTCCCGCCGACTTCATTGCCTTTCTGCACCGCTTACTGCAGGATCTTTATTGGTCTGCGCTATCGCCCTCGAAGTAAATGGTGGTGAAACACAGTCGGTGCACGTGCACGTTGCACTACTTCGAGAACGAGACAACAAGCTTACACGAAGCGAAAGGCAAAGACCATAACTGCGCCGAAAGAAAGCCCCCAACGCCAGTGCGTCGGGGGTTCTTCGCTGCTATCGCCATGCTTAAACGATCACATGATTGCTTGCCGGCACGCATTCTAGGGAGCCATCTTTTAACTGCGTCGCCCACGAATGGTCTCTATTGACCCCATTAGGTGTATAGCACATTATTTCTCATCATCACTCACAGACAGGCGACAGCACCACCCCGCCCGACTACCAGACAGAACTTTGCGCGAAGGACCGTCTGAGCAATACAAGGCGCGTTCGTAGGATGCCCTTGAGTTGTTGCGATACCCTAGTTAGCAGGGCGTCGCGCGCATACCGTCGCTGCCCGAGGAGTCGTAGATTTTGTTCCCGGTCCGGTTTTTAATTTTAAAATTTTTGGTCTGTCTGTCTGTCTGTCTGTTTGACCATCGTAACGATATCCTAAACGGCCAACCCCAACCGCAGCACCAACCAATATTGCTCAAGTTTAGGGCGTTCATACTTGTGAGATTGTCAATTAAAAATCAATTATTGCGCATATGCGAGGCACTATAACAACAAGTCAATATTCTGTATGTGTGTCATTATACTAGGTAAGGCATAATAAGTAATTCTAAAGACTGTTGCGTTTATCACGGTGCGCTGACTATGCAACGCTATGCTCAAAAAGGCAAGTGTTTCCAACGCTTCGCTAAGACGACATGGTGGTGGCACCTGCCCGTCGCTTTGCGTTCTACACCTTATCGCCTCCGAGACAGGCGGGCACGCCTTCCTTCGTTTTCGAAGATACCTGCCATATAGCGCTCGTGGCTAACGTGCCTTCGCGTCATGGAGAGAGACACTCTAACGTAGCGCCTCTAGAACAGAATTCCCTAATTTTCTAGCGCAGAGCATCAAATAAACGTTTCGTTCACTCTCTGCAGGCGCAAAACTATCGTCTTTCGACGAAATTTGCAGTGAAACGTGCAGACACAGGGCCAATTGTTTTTCTATCAAAATGTCTCTTTTAGAGATGATAGCGTTCATTTTATTCTCGTCATATCAGTGATTGAAATATGTTAGTTATGTTTTGGTGAACCATGGCAAAGACGCATACTTTCTTTTTAAAAACCAAATATGAAGGAAACACAATGTCGGCTGTACGCGAAGGATCGCTAGCATGTTTTCGTCAACAAGGACCAAGCGTTTTTGTGTAACTCTGCTCCACGAATTCGGATGTGCCAAACCCATTGCCGTTCGCCGCTAAAGGACTCTTCCCGAAACATAAATGATATATTTTGCACTCTTATCCCTATGACTGCATTATTCACTATAAAGAGGGAGACAGCCTACCCTTAAACCTAATCGTTCTGTCATGTTGACACATAAGTATCTTTTATTTGAGGCGCCCGATACATTGCTTCATGTGTATGAAATGCACATACAGATAACACTTTGCCAGATGCCTTCGTATATTACATGCTCCTTCGATACTGTGCAGCAGTGCTGCACCACGAAGAGGCGTACACATATATATCCTCTAAACCACAAAGATGAGATCTGTGTGCAGCTATCACAGACAGTGCACTCAACAGCTGCTTAGGCTGTGTGGCAACTATTTTAATTAACGTAACCAAACTATCTCAGAGACCCGCGTACAACGCCATTGTATGATTCTCTTTGTGAGAATGAGAATAGATTCATGCGACCCCCCCCTCCCCATGAAAAAAGAAAAAACAAACAACTCGGGCTGCATGTTTCACGCAAATAATCGGTGGCCACCGTTTCGCTTGTTCATCCAGATATGTACTTCTGGCTCTCTGCGTAGTAGAACTCTCTGAATTTTTTCAAGCGTTGCATCTCCGTACTGGGAGCTACTCCTGGCTTTGGTGTGAAGCAAACATTGGTGACGTCCGTCAAGTGCACATTGAAGAGAAACCAAGTGAATTTGTGTTTTCTGTCCTTGCTACTCATAACTAAATCAGCCTGCAAAAGAAGATTAAGAAGAGCTCAATAATTGCTTGAAAAACAAATGACTCGGCAATCAGTCAGACACGATGAGTTGCATTACTGCTGAGCATTGCGATTCAGAAATATGGACACTTACAATGATATAGAGTAGATGTCTTAATCTCTGAATCACCTAGCTAGTTCCATCACACCCAACACCATCTCTTTTTGTTCTTAGAGGCACTGATTTTGAGATAAGAAAATGTGCTTCGACAGTGATTCAGAATCATCAACAGGGTGATGTATTTAGACACATTCTCATTCTTCGAGGCCAATGGGGAGAGCCAACTTCATCTTTGTAGGCTTTGTTTTATTATATGGGAGTGCTGTTTAGGACAAAAAAGGTGCGTCATGATTATTTCCACGGCTGTGAGTGGTAGGGCATACTTAGTACACAAGCAGAATAAATTTGTCCATTGTGCTTTCATCCCTGACCATGAAATAAATCACATCTTCTATATCTTTCATTTGCGTGTGTACATTTATTTCACAAGAGTACCACAGGTACATATTCTGGGTTTGAAGTTTATTGTTGTGCCAAACGAGTTCAGTGCGTTTAACTTATCGTGACAATCAACGTGACATCTCACAGCCATAAAAAGGGTATTAGCGGTTTCTGGTTGTCTTTCTTATTTTAACTCATGTAGCTCTAATATAATGGTGACTAAATATCGCGAATTCTTATTATAAGAGTAATCTCTCGCTTTGTATATATGAACAATACAATTTGTTCCTATCGCTTTCATTTATTCATTCCTACAGTGACACTAGCGTATATTTTATCATGGGCTTGAGCGAACAGTCATGCTGAGAATATACAATTTTCGATGAAGTTATTTGCTTAAAATATTTCCTTTAACTGGTAAATATAACCTGCTGGCGTTCTTAGAGACACGTGTATAGCGTACTTTCAGTGCAATTAAAGACCCCCAGTTGGTCTAATTTCCCGAGAGCCACACTACGACACGCCTCATACCCAAAGCACAGTCCTTTCGTGTATAACTCTATATATTATTATAACAATGTCTGGCACTCGGCATTCGCGTTTCTTTTGTGACGTGTAGCAGCCTGAAAACATCCTCTATAGGTTTGTTTTCTGTTGTTAGTTTCCCCTTTGAAATGATTTATGCTAAACGAGTCCACATCTTTAGAGCGAAAGCGATGATTCTATGCATCGGTGATCAGATGAATTTTTGATACTTTCCAATCTATGCACTTGTCACGCATGGTCAAGGAAATCAAATATAACTTTAAAAATTACCTTACCTGCAGTCATCTTTATTTATAAAACAGAGAAACGTATGAGGATGCCACCTCAAGCCAAACTGAAGTTAGCGAGGCAAGCAGTATTATCAAAATAATGAGAAGTCGTACCTTTTCCTTCATTGTGTCCAGCGAATCAAAGGTAATGAAAAAAGTTCTGTTGACAGCTGTATTAATGCCAGCCATTACCTTCTCACTTTGTAGTTTCGTGGTACTGCCTTCGCATGACTAGAACGAATGAAAAACACGTGTAAATCGAAAGCTGGGGTGTTCATTTGCGCAGATTATCACAAATAAATTTTTGTTAGGGCACGGTATGCTTCGTATGACTACCTTTATGGCAGTGAACGTGATAGCGCGTCAAATCTACCTATTTGTTTATATCTTATATAGTAACTGCTGCTATAAAACTGAAATCAACTCCGCGCGAAAAATAAAAGAACATGGTTGTCCCTCAAATAGAAAAGTCGGTAGAATACAAAACGGAACCATGTCGTCCCAGTGCTAGTTGGTGCTTTGTTGTTCATTGATATAGGTTAGATTGCACAGTGCCTGTAGTTTTATGGCAGCTATTGCACCTGTTTAACGAGGATGCACCAACGTTGACGCATTGTGGCGCATCGCCATCCCTGATGACTAGTGACCATGCTCATGAATAACATTTCTGGCAGCTGAAGTAGTTAGCATCGTCTGTTCAATTCCGCGCAAAGATGACATCCATAAGTGCAATGATAAACACGGATGCTCAATATAAGCTAGCTCAAAACGTCCTTCACTTGAGAACAGAAACGCCAGCGGGTGCCCTCCCAAATTACACAGGAAGCTATGCCTGTGTCTATGTGTACCACAAAGTGCTTCACGAACACAAAAGACAAGAGTTCCTAGATTGAACCATGAACGTAGGTTAGGCGTTTCAATTTTTTACTGGCATGATTCTCACTCCACTGATGCATGTATTGCATGATATTCGCCTGTAGACGTTGTAGCCTTTATGTGGCGTTTAAATAGTTTTGTCAGTAGCTGCTGCTGCAGTGGCAGTGTAAGACCCTGCGAAACTGCTGTATGTCGAAGTTGCACTACCAAAACGACGATGTGTCACATGCTGAAACGGCGTAAAAATTCTAGCACGTAACTGCTCATTAGCGAATTGAATCACCATGCTTTCATGCTGATAAACAGTTTCATGCTGAAAACAAAAAACCTAGTTGCATCATCAATGATTGAACAATATTTACATTGGTGCATCTTTTTTTTTGTCAGATACTCTGTTATCTATATTTATGCGGAAAAAACGAAGGGCCTCATAATCATTGCTACAAGAGATATCGCATGCTCCATGACCAATGCCGATAACATTGCCTGACTCGTCACACTCACATAAATCCCCTAACGGCCTCCTGAATAACCTTTCGAACTCACTAAGCTGGTCGTTGCACTCGCAACAAACCCCGTCTTTACGTCTGTCTAGACCTTTCAGTTTCCTGCAATACTTACTGGAACTCTGACACTATGATCGTTCAGCCACCATGAACGATAGGTGGTGCAAGGATTTGTCTAAATGCTGTGATCTTGTCTTTGAACACACTTGCAGCTTTATTTGTTGTGTTAGGCATATTTTTTTTTCGAACAAAACAGTGGATCGTTGTCAACTTCATGTACCGATTTGAAATGATGGACCTAAATATTTGAAGGTGATGAAGAGAGACTGCTGACCTATTTCTGAACTTCGTTTTGAGACAAAGTGGCTGAAGGCCACGCGCTGGAACGCCAAGATCAAAGAACGAAGGTTAGACAAATCCGTGTGCTACCCATCTCTCGGGTGATGATTGAGGCCCCGTACGTTGAAGCTTCTATAGAAAGTAACACCAAATTTTCTTCTAGAGTACAATTAGGAAATCTCTATAGCCCAGTCTAAACTTGATAATCCACAGGCAGTCGCACCTCATAACTTGCCTTCTAAATTATAAGGGAGCATTACTTGCGACAGCACTGGCAATGCATAGGGGGGTGGGAGGGCTAAAAGCTCCCATGCCATGCTCTCATAAGAATACATGTGATAGTGGCCTAGGAACATTTCATCCCCCTGTATTTGCATGAGTGCTGAGCTTGTCGCAAACATGGGACAAACCGGAAAGACATTAACGTTTTGTTCAACCAACCACAGATGTCATCTTTCTAGCCTTCATCATGCACTCTCAAAGCTTGTCCAGAAGCCATGTCCCTCCTTTGAAATGAAAATTGTGAGTCGATGAAAGGACTCATCTCAACACGAAACATGACTGTTTCTTGGCGTGGTAGCAGCAGCGCGGTGAACATGTTGACGCTGCACTCGAACGGTTTGAAAAATACCGACTATCTTCCGAGCGTAAGTACTAATGTTAAGTACTATTGTGCCAATTTAACCGTCTTCGATGCGTCATCAACAAAAGAGTCCTAAGCATTGCTTTTTTTTCTGTACCTCAACTTCGACAGTACGGTAATAGTGTAATTGTAATGTTTATTCGCAAAAGCCATGACACGCAGAATTGCTTGATTGGGACATTGATAGCTTTTTGGTCTTAGCTACATAAGTGCTGCTTACGACAAGGCGCGCACAGAATCATGTATGCAAGATTATTTGCCTACATGCTTCCTTGTTCCACTTCAGTATTAGTTCAGGATCGAAAACTTGTCATACAAGGGCGGACTGCAGTGAGGCAGGTAGCCACCATTTTTAGAGTAAATGTTTTTTATATCTGTTCCTTTCTTTTTTCTGGATAGGGTATCGCAAAGGTTACGTAATCGGTAAGGCGCCACTCTTAGCACTTCTGTTGATCGATCTTTAGGACAGTTGTTCTGAACCCTAATATTACGGTGATTGTGCACGCGTAACATTGGTGTATGCGCAAGCACAATATTAGACACTGTATACGTACCAGCATAACATTAGGACCCTTTTTGGAAGAGCTCTCTGATTACATACTCAAAGCAACTCCATCTTGCTAATGTTTCCCACCTTACAGAAGGCCTCGTCCGTGGTTTTGGGGGCTTCTTCGTCATGTTAGAGCACATCGCAGGTATTCACATTAACGAAGCACTCGAGTGTTGTCTACGCAGATGCATTTATATGTGATGATGTGACTGCATGGAATACAAGTTTGGCATCGTCCTGTGTGACTATATTAGCGTTATAGGTACATCATTTAGTTTCCTACCAATGTTGCTTGTCAGTGTTCTTTCACCTAGTGCTAGTGTGAAAAACAAAAGCTAACACCAGTGGATGAGTAGTCGAACGTAAGAACGAGTAAGGCAAAGGTATGAATATGGATAACATAGGAAGGCTTCGAATCACGGGGCACAATTACCAGCAGATAGTTGAGTTGGTAACGAAGGCTTAGGAAAGAATATAGTGCGAAACAACATGGATAAATCAAAAGAAAGCAAGACGACACTAACGCCAACTATCCACAAAAGGCTTTTCACGATTGCGGTAAAATAAAGAACACAAAATAAGTTATCTGTACTTCCAAAAATATGGCAGTGCCGCCTGTAAATGTTTTACATTCATGGGTGTGCGTGGCCATAACTGTTCAGGCACATGTATACACATGTATACTTTATATGTATACTTCTCATGTATACTTGTATACATGTATACACATGTATACTTTATATGTATACTTCTCATGTATACACGTATATTTCTCACATGTATACTTTTACATTGTCAAGAGTCGCCCCGCCGTGGTGGTCTGGTGGCTAAGGTACTCGGCTGCTGACCCGCAGGTCGCGGGTTCAAATCCCGGCTGCGGAGGCTGCATTTTCGATGGAGGCGAAATTGCTGTAGGCCCGTGTGCTCAGATTTGGGTGCCCGTTAAAGAACCCAAGTGGTCGAAATTTCTGGAGCCCTCCACTACAGCGTCTCTCATAATCATACGGTGGTTTAGGGACGTTAAACCCCACATGTCGATCAACATTGTCGAGAGTATGACGAAAATTTGGTGCGGGCACTGTACTATGCGGGCACAAGAATGAGCAATTTGTGTTAGGGTTGCTAACTTGCAGTGGAAGCCCAAGTGTATCGAAATACCAGACTTAAACGATAAGCTTTCCTGCGCCTTGCATTTGCTACACTTTTGTACATACACATTACGGTGCGCAAATCAAATTTTCTCGTGCAGGTTCACCCGCAGCAGTGACTTACAGAAACCGTATGCTAAGTAGCACACCCTTACCTCTGGCATGCTGCCTATGGCAAAACGGGTACAACGTTGATACGCCGCGTACTCCGGCTTCATAAACCTTACGGGCATATGGTAATTCAACACGCCCATCTGGAATGCGAAAGCAACTATTTTTGCGTTGGTAGCGAACGATGTAGTCTTCATGGGGATCGTATTCTTCTGTAACAGAGAATGTGCACAATTTGTAAGTCCTTTGCCGAAGCTTTTACGTCGCGGCATGCTTGAAAGAATGCTGTCTCTGCGTCAGAAGCATATACAGTTATTCGAACTGAGACCGCTTTTAAAGCCCTCTTTTTCTTGATTCTAAACGTGGTTATGATAGAAAGTCGAATCATTTTAACTGAGGTTATTTCAGGTGGTCGTCATGAAGTCATCATTGGTTAATTGTGATTTCGAGCACACCTTTACAAGGAACATCACACGTGACAAAGGATTTCATAAAAATGCCTCCCGAAATACAATATGTGGGCGTCATCGCAAAAATACCGTACGTGCCCGTGGCTTAAACTGAAATTTATTCAATCATCACGCTGTGCCATAGGCAAAAAGCTACCTAAGAAGCGAAGTTTCGTAACCCCTTCAGAAAACTGATCTTCTAAATTCATTTCACAATTTTTTTAATTTCCAATAAAGGACACTTTAGTACTGGCTCTTAGTGATTTACAGCTTTACACAAGAACTGAATGCACTATTTGAACTACAAAATATGTCAGCTATAATACCTTTGGAATTCAAGAATTCTTTATTCGAAATTATGAAAGAACGCAGCAGAAATATCAGTTTATTCTTCGTATACTCGCACTACAGTTGCAGTTCCTAAAATGTCAACAATTAAACGACATATCACCGCACTATACTTCCATGTCTGTGCGTGGAAGCGGCTCTTGAGACTGTGGCTTCTCGCTTAAATAACATTTCAGATTATAAATCCATGCTTTTTGTAGACATTGAGCAATGGTTGCTGCTGCATGCACTGATTACGGATACACGTATGACATTCAAGACATCGACTGCTACAGCTAACGAAAACAAATAGAACGCACCACTAAAAAACAACTATTTTTCAGGTACTGCTGATTGGGCGTAGGGTATTCGATACATCGATGAGTGTCACAAGACAACGTGATAAAGAAAGCATCAGCAACGGCTGAAGGAGGTCATTCTGTTTTTGTTGTTTTCGTTAGTGGGAACAAAACACCCTTCATCTATAGCTGTCACACAAAAGGTCATCATATACAACAAGGAAAAACACACAGCCAAAGCACAAAACTGTTTCAGACAAGTCAACAATGAACACAGTGCTACTCTGACCACAGCTAACACACTCCACGAGTGGAAAATTTGATATAGTGTACTTGTATTTCGCAATAAAAACAGGAACGTCTCAATTCTTCACTTGTAAGGAACTCAGCGCTAAATTACACCAAGACTGCTAGAAAGCAAACAAAAATACTACTTCTTTTTGCACGCACAATGGCAAAAAAAACAATAATGCAAATATTTGAGACGTTTTTAGTGCTACGGCAGCTGTTCCTCTCTTTCTATATGCTTTTGATGTGTGCGCCGTTGGTTTCTGATGATCGACAAACTTCTCACAGGCATATAATCCTCATTGGCGATGTTGTTCTCAGTGGAATATTTCATGCTTATGGGGGGAAGGGGACAGACAGTGCCCAGGACAGAGGCTCACTTACCATCGATGACATCATATTGTTTTTTGGATCCCAGGCACTTGCAGGCATTGCCTTGCAGGTTGACAGGCTGCGCACCGTCAACACGCACGTAATAATAACTACCACGGTCACGTCATCCCTGCGACAACGTGAGAAAACCTTATGAGACATCAATTGCGGCGCTATCTACATCGGCGAAAAAAGATGTTTCATATAATCTTACTATAGGTCACAGACTTTGGGATAAGCAGGCTACGGTGTTTCGTGTTCGCGCACTCAAGCTTACACTGCACCCCAACGCCCTCTGTAGTTCTTTTCATAAGCTAGTGATATTGCGCAGTTCAACCATTGCAACCATTCATTCATAAACGGAACGTGATGAAAATTCCCACAGTGCCTTTCGTGATCTTAGGGTTGGCACGCTACCAGTAAAGATGGCAATATAGCATACCACGTAGCAATATATATATATATATATATATATATATATATATATATATATATATATATATATATATATATATATAATATATATATATATATATATATATATATAATATATATAATACTGTACGTAGCGTCAAAGAAGCGGGAAAGCACGTCATGACTAACGTTTTGACCGCGCCACGGCCTTATATATAAATATATGCCTATTTCCAGTATTCTCACAAGTTTTTTGCTGCATAGGTAGGTACCGGTAAGACGGTGGTCTTTTATACACTCCTCTTGCTGAATAATGGCAATCTACTATTTGTCAATAAAGGTTCCTTCTCGAATGTGCACCACCTCTTTTTTTATAAATGTATGCAACGAGAGGTTGGTGCCAATGAGTGGCGCCAGCTACTCCTCATGCACAAAAGTCGACATCGCACATTTTGTAGCAAACACAAGGCTATACATATGTACATAGCACAACGCTTACCCAAATAGTCCACGCTTTTCAATACTGAGTGTCACACCACACAAAAACGTGTCCACACTACACAGAAATGTGTCCACACCTCACAGAGTTTGTAAAAACACAAGTAATTCATGCCAGTTTAAGTGTCACACAAAACATGAAAGTTCAATAAAATGTCTAAGGTGATCTTGTCGCTTAAGTACTGAACTGTTTTCAGAAAGGATTTCCAAAAATATCTTAGTGAAGCACGAAAATATTTTTTGAAACATACCGGTTAACAGTGGCAATAATACATTTTTTTTCGTTTAGTACTTTTGAGCTATTTCTGATTGCTCCAGAAAGTGAACGACTTCACGCGCTTCAGTAGCTTGTAGCTTTTCTTTTGGCCATGGACCCTAGATTTTTGCAATTCATGGCAGTCGCTTATTCTTCTAGTTACTTCCGATCTCGTCATTCGGCTCGACGGTTACTACCTGTTCGAATTAGACGCAGTCTTTTACAACTTCAAGCACACTGCTACCTCTCCCGAAGCGCTGTTCTTTTACGAGATTGTTGTATATTACTTTCGTTACCTGCAGATTAATTTTAGGACCCATCTTTCTGCTCACCTTGTCTAATTCAGTAATCATGAATTGAAATTTGTCGCCAGAGTTACTCAGCAATGCAATGTCATCAGCGAAGCGCGCGTAACTAAGGTACTCTTCATTATCTCGTATACCCAACTCTTCCTCATTCTACGCCTCTGCGAACCTCCTGTGAGAACGCGGTAAATAGCATTGGGAAATCATATCTCCGCAGTATATCGCGGCCTTTATGCCATATCTAGAGCGATGGGGTACTCACGAAGTCAGTTTTGTCACCGTCGCCTTCAGAGTGTTGTAAGAGTCCTTGAAGTCGTAGCTGTAGTATCCGAAGCCAAAAATAATGTGTGACGATTTCCCATATTCCGAAGCTGGAATGACAGATCTTAATTTCTGCAAAAGAAAGAAAATTGATGCTAATTTTTATTTCTTCTAGAGTTCTTTTTTTTTCAAGCTAGAGCGAGAATGCAGAAGAGGATGCATGAGGCGGAATAATAGAATGAGGCATCAAGAACATCGTACATAAATGAAATCAAAAGCACTTCTCACGTAACAAAGTATTTCACATTATATTACGCAAAAACTACCAATATAGAATAAATATCTTCTTGCGCGAACTTGTTTGATGAGGGTTACACCTAAAATTTTGCTTTTGTCAAGTTTTCATTGACCTCTCTACAAACTTCTTTTGTTGTTCAACAAGTCTGAAGTCATATTTGGAGTGCTGTCTGCTAAGCTTATAGCTCAATATACGGTATTAAATAGCGACGACCACGAGAAGTTCATCTGTTTTAGTATCAGTTTGTCCAAGGTTCTAAGTTTCCTACAACCATAGGCGTGTTCAATAAGATGGGGCAGCGGGGAGGCACCAGCGATTAACTGTCCGAGGAGGTGGGGTAATCATATCACATACCTTTACTCAGGCTGACCTGTCCTATCATTGTTTAGAGAAGAGCCTTATTGCTGCATAACACCCCCCCCCCCTTCCAATGGTGAAGCTTGTGCCATTTTATGACTACGGTTACTTGTTCAGCTATAGCTTGAATAACAAACATTCATGCACTTCATTACATCAGAACTAACCCTGCAAACTGACTAAACTATACTGCTATTTCTAGTACATCATATCATTTCCTCTGAATTCATTGCCGCGTTCTCCCACGTTTGCATGCGCGTCTTTTCTTCGCCTAAGCAGTGAATTCGCATAAAGTGCAAGTCTATACTCATGAGATTATCTGAGCACGTGCTGCCGTCCAACTGTGAGAGATTGACCCTTCTTACTCGTAAATACTGCTTGTAACTTTGTCAAACATATTGATCTCTACCGTTACGCTTAGTTCGACGAAGATTACAATACTTGCTTCATTACTCTTTTTTTTCATTAGGAAGCTTTGGAGGAGCATTTAATTATATGGCGGTTGAACGAAAAAAAGGCACATATTCGTTCAGCATTGTTGAAAGATTGAATCAATGCAATAATGTTCCTTGCGACGACAGCTACATCCACAATATTACGGAAATTTAACATCACTGTACCGCCGTTGTCTTCTTCAACAGAGCTGGGCCATAGCTTTGGAGGTCAGCGTCGGTTCCATAGATCTTCAGAATGCCAAAATGCTTGATCTTTTTCGTTTGAACGAACTGTAGCGCACTCGTCATGCCTTTATCAGTCGTTTCGTTTATGTACCTGGAAGAACAAACGGGATGCATGCGTTCGCTGTTCGAAGAGCACACCATCATGCAAGAACGTTCAAGAAAATTTAAACCATTGCTTGCGAAGCACGCTCACTGCAAGTGGATTTGTAAAACTTCTACCCAATTTGAATAGAATTATACATGATTGCTAAATAGCGTATGTCCCAACAATATGATTGATATGTGGGGTTTAACGTCCCCAAACCACCATATGATTATGAGAGACGCCATAGTGGAGGGCTCCGAAAATTTCGACCACCTGGAGTTTTTTTAACGTGCACGAAAATCTGAGTTTCAGCTAGTTGGGCACCACGGTGGGCGTATTTCAGTGGAGGCGAAGTGCTAACGGTGTGTGGGCGCTGTGCGATGTCAGGGCATGACCAAGGACCGCTGATCTGGAGTTTTCTATTATGAGGTACCTGATAACTATGTCTCGTTGTTACCATGGAAACGTTTATATACATATTTACTACCAGCGGATATCGTATAGGTGTAATCAGCGGATATCGTATTGGATATCGGTATAGGCGCAATGCGGGAGGCCTTTTGTTGTTGTGCCTTTGTCATGTATTCAGCCTTGCGCTAGAACTTTCATCTTTAACAAACTAGGCATCTTGTAGTTTCAAAACATTTTGTTTGATTTCTTTGGAGTACCGATGGCCCTTCTAAACTTACTGCAGCAGCAAAGTTTTTAATTTTACCCTTTTGTTACCATTCATCAGCATTATAAGGTTTCATTCAATAGAGCCATCACAGTAATTTTGCATTCATGGGCGTAAGCATAGGAGATAGTGTGCTACAATAGACTCACAACATATTTTTTTCATCGTTAGAAAACTAAGCAGACTTCTAGCTCCGACACTCGGGCTTCTTCAAGTCAGGGCGTACCCTAACCCCGCGCTATTACACAAGATTCATCCCTAAATACAGCCAACTAACACATATTCCTTCTGCAATCGTATAGATAATTTATAACACTTGCTCTGGTGGTGCCCCGCGCTACGCAGTGAAGTCACCATGCCGTCTAAATAGGAGGGTGATAATATCAGCCCCAAATAGAAGGGTGGTATTACCAGCTCTGAACTCGAACGAAAGTTATCGGCATTCCAACGGGCCCGCGACACAGCATAGAGACTTGGTCTTTCTATTCCCACGTGGCGACGGCCCGCAACGTGCTAAATCGCGCTTTAAGGGACCTATTAAAGTTCATTCATTCATACATTCAAAAGATTTCGTTATCGCGAATTTAGGCTATTACTTTTCACTGTGAATACGTTTACTAAAGCTGATATGATCGTTGAACCTACAATCTTTCATTTCTCAATTGTTTATTTTTTTACAGTCGCGCAATCAACGCAGCATTATTTTTTGACATGACATAGCAAACACGAGATTTATTACGGCTGCCTTGCGTTCATAAACGCGTTCTTAAAGCTAGGCGCCGGGGCGTCAGCTGATTCCGCCTTTAGCAACATGCGGCCAGAGTAGCCGTTATTTGAACCCGCCTCTTCGGAAGTCATTAAGGCGCACCTGTATAGCAACTGATCTACTGCATGGAGAGCAAGTCTTCGTCCTTTTAAACCTTTCGCTCTACCAATCCAGAGATGACTTGGTCGGGCGATGGCACGTGCACGAGTCTTGCCAACAAGTCACTACCTGCCATTTGCGAGGCAAATAACTCTCG